AGTTCTTGCAGCCCTATAAAAAGGCCACTGTCTTTCTTTTAAATCTGGGTTGCGCTGAGATTTAATTTCTCATTCACTGATTTGCCTTGTCTTTCGTCTAAGAGAACAGCAGCTAACCTGGCCTTCAGGACACTGAGAACAAAAGCATCTAGCCGACTCAAAGGGCAGGTAGATTGCTCCCCACTCCCATCTCCCCAATGGATAGGCACTGATAGGTAATTGGCTGGCAAGACAACTGCATCGTCAGGTGGGCTTGGGGGCCTTTCCTGAGAAGGGACAGGACCCCAAGCAAAGAGGCAGGTCAGGCCATGCAAGTATGAGTCTCAAGATACACTGCTTTTGGCCACTCCACCAAGTGTCACCTAGTTCTGTTTGGTCTTCCGAGTCCTCTTCCACCCAGTTCCTTCTGGGATCTTCTCCTGGTGGAGTTTTCTTCATTTGCAAAAGGAATTTGAATCAGTTCCCTAACCCTAACCCTTCCTGCCCTGCAGGTGCAGGTAGCCTGTGCCCAGCCCTTGTTCTTCCCACACCCACACATTCACCCTGCCCACAGGCAGACTGACTGTACACACCTGGCGAACGAGGCTGGCTTGGCTCTCAGCGAGCCTGGTCCTCAACAGCTGAACCCCGAGCTCCTGCAACCCCACCCCCACCCCCGGGGATGACAGCTGGGGAGCCACTCGGGTGGAAGGAAGGGGCAATGGCAGTGGGAGCGCCAACAGAACCCTCTTCCCAGAGGGCACATCTGCTGCCACTGCCAGCCTTCGCCCCCCCGTTTGCTGGCAATGGGAACACGCGTCCCAACCAACTGGCCGTTTTCCTGGTGCTGCACATACAGCTGCAGCGGAGGCTGCCTGTGGCTGCCCGTCTGCAGCTCCGGTTCCCCCTCAGGAAGCTCAGCTGCTCCCCGTCAATCATGTCAGGAGACCGATCAAAACATCCCAGGGATGTGCCGCTTTGGTTTCAGCCCAGCTCTGAGAATATATCTGCAGTGCCCCGGGAACAAGTGCCCTCCAACAGACTCTCTGGGGCCTTTGTATGGAAAGCCCAGAACAGGATCACCAAAAAGACGTGCCCAGAAATGGCTTCAAGGGGGCCTGAGGAAGCCAGAGAGAAGTCAGCGGCCTGCAGGGGGGCAGTTCAGGCCCCATTCGGGGATTGGGGTGCTGACGAGCTGAGAGGAGAGGGGCGCCTCCTGCCACTGCTATGAGGGAAGAAGAGCAGCTGCCGGAAAGGAGGGCAGCCACTTCAGGGGGATGCAACATCAGACAAATGGGATGCCAGGCAGCCGTGGAGGAAGAGGACAAACCGTGTTCTGCTCTATGTTTTTCACTTCCTGGCCATCACTCCAGAGTGCAGGACATGGAATGATGGATTAAGTTACAGGCAGGCAGTTTCTGACCAAACGTTAGAAAAACTGCTGAACAGTAAGAGCAGTTTGACAGTGCAACCCCTGACCCAAGAGGCAGGCAGCCAGGTGGCTCCCCTCCCTGCACGTGGTCAAGTGAAGCCTGGACAGTCATCCATCACCATGCCTCGATTTGAATCCCTGGCCTGAGCAGGGAGGGGACTGGACTCTATGGCCGACTCAAGAAGTCTACGATTCTATGACAGGGGGAGCCCCAAATCAGCTCTTTCTTTCCTTTTGGGTAAGAGGGGTGCTTTTTTGAGCAAGAAAAAGAATCAGCAAGTGGGGCAACTCTTCTGCGAGAAAAAAGACACGGAAGCCTCAGCAGGCAACAGAAGGAAACGCCTGGACTCAGTCTTCTGCCTGAAGAGCACCCCCTCTTGGTCCAGCAAAAGGAGGTGAAAGGAACAATGTGAACCGCGGCGCCAAGAAGTGGTTTGAGAACATCAGCTTGCACAACAGCTTCCCAAGATCACAGCAGAAGGTGGAAGTGTCATTTCCACCCTCTGGCCGTACTCGGCAAACTTTTCTGGAGACCAAGCAAAGTATGTTTGCAGCAAGAGTTGCACCCACTTTCCAGAGGTGAAAAAAGAGGACCCACCAGCCTACCCATCAGCTTGAAACAAATCACTAGACACCAACAATGGCTTAAATCGCCAGCTACGAGCCTCAGAAAACAAAGACAGTGATCAGAGAGCCAGAGAAGGCTTCCCAAGAACAAGCAATGTCAGACCAACCCCGTCTTCTTTTTTGTTTACAGGCGGGTAGGTCAGAGGAAGGCTGGTGATATAGCATGCCTTGATTTTAGCACAGCTTCAGCAAGGCCAGCTGTGATCCTTTTACTGGCAAGGAGGTAAAATGTGGACCAGGTAAGGTCGCAGCCACTTGGCTTCCCCATGGCTGATGGCAGGGCCTGCAGCCCAGCTCACTCCTCAGCTCGGAGTATGGTGGCAAGTGGGCTATCCCAGGCATCTGCCTTTGGCCAAATGCGTTACCCAGCATCTTTAGAAATTACGTGGATGAAGCACGTGAGATCACAGAATGTAAGGACAGCCCTGGCAGATCAGGCAAAAGGCCCTGGTTTCTCATCGTGGTGACCCTTAGCCAAGCAGTACTTCTGATATCCTCAGCCCTGGTATGTACAGGGGTTACAGGTCTGAGGACAGATGTTACATCCTATGCCACGGACCCATGAAATGCCACCAGGCTGCACCTGAAATTATTTTTGAAACCTTGGTCTGTGTTGACCAGGGTGTGTTTTTGATATTATTCCTAGAATTGTTTGGGAGTAATTGCTATGGTAACGGGTGTCTGTAGCTGGCAGACGCAAGCCAGGAAACTCAGGCTTCAAAGCTGCCTTGCAGACCCCAAAGGAGATGGGGTCTCCAGCCCAGACTTTCTTGGCAAGTCAGAAAACCTCCAAGCTTTTCCGTTCTTCCCCACTAGTTACAGCACTTCCCTGTCGAGCTGCAGAGCCAACATCTTTTTGGCCCACTTTTCCATACATCTGGCTATGTTCTTCTCCTGTCTTTCCCTCTTTAACGGGGGCGGGGGGGGAGGACACTGAGAACCCATCCTCTGGGAAGTGCATCAAGCCAACGCCATAAAGTATCTACTATGTACTTCCTAATAACTCTTCCTCCTCCTCCTCCTCGACGGTCCCCTGTTAAGATGGTAATACCAGAGACGGCCAAGAAGTAGCTTTACTCAGGCATGATGCATAGAGTATTGGCGTGAATTCAGTGCCAACTGCAACTTTTAGGCAGTGATGGAGTTTCAGAAACTACCACTGGAGCTCCTCCCCTTTCACTTTTGGTAAAAATGACTAAAGACTCTTAAAGGAACCAGACATTCCAGCAGAGCATGTTTGTGACGGGGGGCTGGGAGTCCAAGCATGGGGCATTCAGGTGGAAAAGAATAACTCCAATCCCACCAAAGTGCAGAGGACAAAAAGAGGGAGCAGCAACTCTGGCCCAACCACCTATGGAAGATGTTTTTCTACACACATCCCTTTCAGCTCATAAAATTTTCACTCCATTCCAGGCTGTTTCTAGAGGTGCTCCAGCCAAGCTTTGCACAGTTAAAGGGTGCCCCATCCAGAGGGCCAAGCCATAGAGAGGTCCCTGTGGGTGCAATGATGCTAATGCCACACACCTCCCTGAGTACCATCTACTAGAAATGCCTACCTCTATAGGGCCTCCTGACCCCAGAAGGGCTTCAGGAACTGCAGCAACCAGCCACAAGATGCCACAGGGAAGGCCACTGCCAGCTAGGGTCAGGCTGGGGGTGCAGCAGTCCACCAGACCTGGCGCAGCCCAGGAAAGAGAGAAAGTCCTGCAAGAGGGCTGGAATGGGGTGGGCAAGGAGCACTCATCTTCTACCTGGTCCAAGGCAAACCCAGAAACATACCAAGGCAGAGAGGCTTCACATTCCACTTCCGTTAAGGTGCCCTCTATTATTAGAACTGTCTCTTGGAAGCAGAGCAGCCTTTCTGCCTAGAGGCTGGCCCACTCTCTGGCACATGCCATGAGGAGTGGAGGTGAGTCTCCACAAACCCTTCAGAACTTCAGGCAGTCTTCAGAACTGACCAGCTGCCGGACTCTATGGCTAGACTGCTGGCTAGCTGCCGAGGGGAAATGCCCACATCCCACTGCCAACCAGCTCCCCACACGGGCTCCTCGGCACCCTCATTGAAAGAAGGATCCTGCAACGCAGGGATGGATTCCAGAGTGCCCGTCTGCTTGCCCCCGCAGTGCCCTTTGGTAGCTGCGAGAGAGCCTGGGACCCAGTTGTGGCACAGACAGGAGCCCTGGGGCCTGGGAAAGAAGGAAAGGCCTCGGTGGGGCCAAATGGGCCCAGGGAGCAGCCCTGTAGGCGGGAGCCACTCAGCAGCCAGGCAGGGGCTGAAAAGTCCACCCTCTGAGAGGCTCGGCAAGGGCGCTGCTGTACTTCTGGCTGAGGGTCTCTGGAGAGTTCCGCTCCAACTGCGTCGCCCAGCATCTTCCAGCGCTCCCCATCTGCCCCGGCCAGAAAGTGCTGGGCTCGCGCCCAGCAACCCCGGCACGGCCGAGGCTGAACGACGAGGCGAGGAACCTTCGCCCTCCTCACCACCACCCCGGTAAGGAGCCAGACCGGCGCGCTCGGCCGGGGGAGGGCC